TTTCGGTTTGCCTCATGCTTCCTCATGATTAGATCTAAGGATGTATTTTTGGCAGGAATACTACCCAGTGGTGTGCTGGACCCAGCTAGTACCAGTGGTGAGAGCCAGTTCTCACATCTCTTCCCAGCAGCATGTTCTGTGATGTCATATGGATAGTTTAAAATCAGCACAGGGAGAGTATATGGACCGTGAATATCAACAAATGCTACAAACGAGGGATCATCCTCCCCACCCCCCCAGCATTTTGATTGTGAAACATTTACATTTACCAAACATTTACATTAGCCATGTAGATGAGTGAAGTTGTGTCCTTCTCAGTGAATACTCTGAGGAGGCACATGATGCTGGTCTGTCCAGTTATTGGTGATATCTCATCACTTGATTAAGATTGTATCTGTAAGGGGCACCTGGATGGTGCAGTCATTTGGGTGACAGACTCTTGGTTTTGGCTTAGGTCATGATCTCAGGGTCATGGGATCAAACCTCATATTGGGCTCAGTGCTTGGTGCAGAGTCCTCTTGGGTTTCTTTCTCCCCCTGCCCTCCCCACTATATGCATGCTCTCTTTTTCTCTCTCAAATAAATAAATAAATCTTTAAAAAAAAAAAGATTGTATGTCAGATTTCTCTGTTGAAAAATTACCACTTCCCCCTTATCATTAAACTTCCTCTATAAAGAGATACTTTGTAATTATATAAATACCCTGTCCCGTTTCTCACCAAGCTTTCACACAATAGATTTTATTTATTGAAAACTATTTCCTGGATAATTAGTACTATGATAATTATAAATGATAATTTTCTTTTCCTCTCATTTCTTATACATTTATTTGTTGGTGTTCTACAAGCTACCTTTTTTAATAGATTTAACCCTAGAATAGCTAGATAATTAGTTATACACTTGGAAACAAATCAAGTTCCCCCAACAGTTTGTCAGTAGTTCCAATCCTAAGTGTTTGTGAGCAAGTAATTCATGTCCATTGTTGTGCAGAATGAGTTTCCAAGAAGTACTACATCAATACAGAAAAAGCAGATGGATCTTCAGAAATAATTTTCCCCTGGGACGCCTGGGTGGCTCAGTGGTTTAGCGCCGCCTTCGGCCCAGGGCCTGATCCTGGAGACACGGGATCGAGTCCCACGTCGGGCTCCCTGCATGGAGCCCGCTTCTCCCTCTGCCTGTGTCTCTGCCTCTCTCTCTCTCTCTCTCTCTCTCTCTCTCTCTGTGCCTCTCATGAATAAATAAATAAAATCTTTTTAAAAAAATAATTTTTCCATTCTAAGTGTTTATGTTTGATAATAACTTACCCATCCCGTCAACAGGAAAGGTGGCATTTGGAGTCATTTTTCAGTCTTATCTGATTCTAGCTTTTATCAAAAGCATACTTTTGGAAGATTCCTGGTGAGAGATTTACACTGGAGCCAGAAAACTAATTAGTACACGGTGAAATGGAAAGAGCACTGGACAAGAAGCACTGAGTCACAGTCCCCTGTGGGATTGGGTAGTACACTTCATGTCCCCAATTCTTGATGCCATCATCTTTAAAATAATAGGAGCCGTATTTTCACTAAATTCCCTTTCTTTTTTTAAAAAAAGATTTTATTTATTTATTCATGAGAGACACGGAGAGAGAGGCAGAGACATAGGCAGAGGGAGAAGCAGGCTCCATGCAGGGAGCCTGACGTGGGATTCGATCCCGGGTCTCCAGGATCACACCCTGGGCTGAAGGCGGTGCTAAACCGCTGAGTCACCCAGGCTGCCCCACTAAATTCCCTTTCAAACTCTAAAACTTTCTTTTATTCTCTTCTACTTATGACTCAAAACCAAGAGTGTACCTCATTAGCAAGATGTCTTGGTCAACTGAGCTAACAAGCCAAGGGCAAAAATAAGATGCCTGACACAGAGCCTGAACCTAGTGACCTAGGGACTGAATCTGTAAAGAAGCTAAATTAGCCATGAGGCTAGAGCACCTTGATACTTGACTTGACACTGTTTCATATCACCCTTGTGCATTGGGCCACATCAGCCGACTCACTTCTCTGCTCCCTTTGTTTATCCCTGACCGTCATGGAAACCCATGAAGGATCCTGTTACCTCCCTCTCTGACTAGATCCTTCTCTCAAGTGTTAGCTTGCCCGGTACCTATAAGGTTACCTCTGTTGCCATGGTAATAAGTAAAAGAAATCTTTCATCCTAGGACAGACAGCAATTTCTAAAGAACTTTTTCACTTTGGGCATGAAATTCTGGAGTTCTGTATATGTCTTAATTAAATTTCACCATACAAAATTGCTGAGAACCAGGCAAATAGTATTATTTTTGCTTGATCCTTTGTTTGGTGAGCTTCGTGTGCAAGTCAAGTAACCTTGGCAATCAGTATTAGAATTCAAAATATGTTGCCTTGGATTTCCAGAACAGAGGTTAAGAGGAAGGTGAGGTAGGGGCTGAGGTATATAAAAGAATGTAAGACTTGGCCAAACCATGCATTCTCTTGTCTCCATGGAACAAGAGTTCGGTCAGCCCCACCCCTCCACCCCACCACCCCACCACCCCACCATCACCCTCCTCCACCAGTATTGCTTTGGGGCAACTTGCATAGGTGAAAAAAAAACCCATAGGTGAGTTGTATATTTGCCTCCCCACTCTTCTGGAGCTGTCTGAGCCTGGCATTTTTCATGCTTCAGCTCCTCATTTCAGCATTTTTAATATTTAATGACCCTTCTAAGGTAGAGAATTATTTGGCAACGTTCTTAAGAGTTTCTGTCTGAGGCCTTTTTATCTACTGGACTTCCATTTGCTAAATTGCAAAGTTGGTGTCTCAAATATTGTTTGGATGACTCACCTCAGGTTCTGATGAGGCAAAGGGGGTCATAGGGGGGCCAGAAGAGTTGGCAGTCATTTTCAATATATTTAATTTCGCTGTAGTTATTTTAATATCCAAGACAATCCATTTATTTCCCTCTTTTGTAAGATTTTTAGACAAACTGGACTTTAAGTTTGGACGTAATTTCAAACTCAAAGATGTTTTTGAGTGTTCCTCCCTGTTTCCTGCCTCCCTCTGCATGAATTTTTTTGTTTGTTTTTTTCCTTTGAGCATAAAAATTTAACCTTTGTAAAATTTAGCCTTGATTAACACCCATCTCACCTGCCGGATTAACTGCTTCAATATTTTTCACCAAATTAGGAAAGCACTGTCTCTTGCCTGAAAGACAGAGGCCAATTGATTCTTAAAATCAACCTGGCTTCTCTTTGATTTTATAATCTGTTTCTAGAGATTAGAAGCAAGCTTGGAATTCCAAGCTCTGGGCCTGTCAGCTTTTAAAGCAGAAAACTGGAGCAGATCCGTTGCCTCGGGTTTCAGAAGGGAAACTTTGATTGTCACAGGATGAAATTCCTTTGTTTTCATTTTGTAATATAAGGGAAATGCAGATAGTGATCACAGCTGACATTGTAATGCCCTTGGGTTTTTTGGTTTGTTTATTTTATTTTATGGCTTTTAGAAGAATTATTGTTATTGGTGCATTTTGGTTTGTTTTTGAGAACCCTAGCCAAATCACTTGGAAAGGTGAGAGAAAAGTATAATCCTTTCAGAAATCCTCAGTGAGGTAAACTGCCTCTGTCAACCTACCTCGTGTGCATTTACTTAAAAACTACTTCATACTTACCATTGATACACTTAGTGTACCTAGAAAAACTCTTTAGCCTGAATTCAACAGGAAGAAGGGAGAAATAAAGAATTCAGTCCAATTTCTAGGCTCCTCAGTTCCATGGTCTCAAACACTCTGTGCTTTCAAGTACTAATTTTTTTTTAATTTTTATTTATTTATGATAGTCACACAGAGAGAGAGAGAGAGAGAGAGAGAGAGAGGCAGAGACACAGGCAGAGGGAGAAGCAGGCTCCATGCACCGGGAGCCCGACGTGGGATTCGATCCCGGGTCTCCAGGATCGCGCCCTGGGCCAAAGGCAGGCGCCAAACCGCTGCGCCACCCAGGGATCCCCTCAAATACTAATTATACAACACGTAGGCAAGGTTATATGAAATTGTTTTCGTGTGTGTTAATGCTTACAAGGCAGCATATCACCAAATTTCTTTTTACAAATTTTTAAAAAATAAAGAACCCTCTATACACTCATTGACTCACTGTTGTACTATATTACATGATGTGGCAATGGCATTAACATATATGATCATACTTGACAAAATAAATGAGGGCATGTGTGAGTATTATTGCTAGAGGCAATACTCCCTCCCCACATACTTATGCATCTTTACCAGGCTACTGAAAAAGCACTCCTGTTTTCCAAAGCCCAGAATTCCTATTTGGGGGGTGGAGGGATCTTAAAGGATGAAAAAATAAAATAATGGGTAAAATGATAAATCAGAGTTCACCAAACTTCAGTAAAAAGGAGCAGAATGTTGGTCTTCTCTAAGTATCTACTATAACTGATTCCTAAGGCTTTACATTTTATCGCTAATTGTATAAAGATTAATTCAACAATGTATCATTGATGCAGAAGTGAATTTATATTTTTAAAAATAGTTGCATTGTGTGTGTACCAAAACAAAACAAAACCACGTGGTGACACAGAAAAAAAAAAACTCAGGAAAACACCCAATAAACAAATCTAAGTACATCTTCAGAGCTTAAAAATGAACCTGTCGGGATGAAAATGATTCACTGAGAAGCTGTCTGAATTTTCAGCCTCCAAGTCATTTGTGTTTCTTCCAGAATACTGCTCTCTGAACAAAATTCCCCCCGGCTAATTAAAGTACACCCGCAGGCACACACACACACACACACACACACACACACACACACTGTGGCTTTCCCTGAACCCTGGATGCGCCCCTCCACGCCCCCCCTTCCTTTCCCCTGTAATGGTATGATCTGCGTTTGATTGTAAACTGGAGGTGCCAAGCTGTGACAGCTTCCCCAACTCCACAGCCATTTGCTACAACCTAGGGCAGCCTGTGTTCAGTGATGCTTTTCTTTCCCCCCGACAGGGGCAAATCGAAGCCGACAGCGAAACCATCTTCAAGTTAGCAGCGCTTGTGTTACAGGTAAGAACCAACCAACTGCTTCTTGCCTGCGCCTTTTTTGTTCGTCGGTTTTTGTGAGCTGCCTGCAACTCTGAAACTTTCTCATGAGCCAGTGGCTGATAGATTTTTAAGCCAGCTGGTTGTTTGCCAGTGAAAAACGTGGTTTTCTGCTTTAGCGTAACTTGCATGAGTTACAGTGTGATATTATATGTCGCAAAGGAAAATGAAATTTAGACTCCTCTGGGGGAAAAGAATTTAGACCGTACTTCAGGAAAGGAGCTCTCGAATAGTTGGATTTGGGAAGCAGCACTTGTTACAGCGGCTGTAATTGTCATTTAAATTAAGTAACTTTAAAAAAAAATAAATAAATAAGTTAAGTAGCTTTTGTATACGTTTTCTTGAAGTCAAGTGCAAGAGCCCCTTAATTCTTAAAGATGCTAGTAGCTGAAAAACCAAGTGTGTTCTGTGCTTATTTAAAAAGAGAAAGCAAGTGGCATGCGTTGATTTACCTCTGTCTGGTTTAAAAGGTCTGTGTCCGGACTAAAAAGTGCTGCTCGAATAGACAAGCATTTATCACATAATCATAGAGACCTAAAGGAAGACATAATCATCTCTGCTTTTTCAGATATATTTGTCTCCTCTGTTAAGAATAAGAAGTATTTCGTGGGTACTAATGTGTTCTCACCAATGCCACATTCTTCTCCGGGGCCCTAGAGAAAGTGTTCCTCAGTGGACATTCTCCCAAACAAAACTCAGGCACTTTAAGAGGGAAACGTGACCAAGAATGAAATTCATTCACTTAATTAACATAAATACATATTGATCATCTATCTTTCTTTTTTTATTTCAGGAAGCCAAAGGGGATTATAGCAGGTAATGGTTCCTTTTCTGATATTACTATGCAAAATAATCCAAGCTGAGCCCTAGCTGAATGCCGTTGCTTTAAATAACAATGGATGCAAACTCAAAAGAAAGTAGATCTCAAGGCGGGAGACTGAGATCTCTTCCCTCTTCAAATAGGGACCCATTCTTTTTATGAATGAATCCAGCAAGGACGCTTTCTTAGAATTTTTCAAGCCAGAGTGACAGTGAATTGTAAACAGAAGCCCTCCAAGGCTCAGTTATCTGTTAGCAAGATGAAGAAATCTCTAAAAAGCTTTGGTAGCCGTGCTGACTTTTTAAAATTTATAAACAATCCTGCGTTGGAAGAGTTATAACATATGCACAAAAAGATAAACTCCATCAGCTGCTTAGTTAAGGGATTAATAGGGGCTTTCTTTCTGCAGCTGCCCTAAAGGGGCCTCTCTCTTCAGACACTTGACCTAACAGTTGTATTGTTGCCACTGGGACACTTACTGGTTCTGACTGCCTAACTGGCCACCTCATCAGAATGTTTATATTTGAATTCATGCTCTACCTGCACCTTTCTGCCCTTTTAATGCAGCAGTTGTAGTTGGAGGAATCAAAAAATGGTTCAAGGCGGAGGCAAGGCCCCCAATTAGAAGCAGCCCACAGGCCAATGACCCATTGCAGGCCTCACCTCGACCATGTTAATGTTCCACTCCTGGTAAACTTTACCCGTAGATTATTTACAGACGACCTAGTACTCATTCCCAGCCAAGGTCTTGCATAGTATGCCCCTTAACAGACTGATAAGCGAATAATGCCTTCCAAGCTTGCAAACGTCCAGTCAGGGCTCACTACTTCACCTCAGAAACTCCAGATCCTCTCACCTGCCCGTTCAGTTTGGTAAAATGACTGCAGAGTCCACTTCGCACACCACCATCCACCTCGTGAGCATCATTCATTAGCTTTGTTCTTGTGCCATGCTATTTTTTTTAAATGTGCATTTAAGTTAGGAAATATGCTTTGAAGGAATCAGGAGAATCTATAAACACCATCTTTTTTTAATTAAAAGAAAGTGTTGGGATAAAAGGAAGATATAGTAGTTTCTAGATCCTTGACATCATGCTGGTCTGTTCTCCGCTCTTGGCTTTCCTAGAGGAGCCCTATTTCCTAGGAAGATCAGATATGCAAGGAATGTCATCATGGAGGGTGGTGTCTGAAGTTGATTTATAAACGAGGGCTTTCAGGCCCAACCTGACCCTCTGCAGTCTGTGAACTGCTAACCCTTCCTCCCCATTTTCTCCCCACCAGCCATGTGATGGACACTCTCGAAACCTCATTTGCTCATTAGGATAATGGCCCTTACCCCTAGATTAATGGGTGTAGATTGGGAGATCAAATATATGTAAACATTGCTCAGGGCAGTTTCTGGCACTTGTAGCAAGCTCTCTGTACACTTTGGCTATTATTATCAATTATTCTAGTATCATTATTGCCCTCCTCATTATCATCATCCTCTCCTGTCTCTTGGCAGCTTCTGAAAAGACTTTTGGGAGTAAGGTGGTCCGAAGAAGTTGAATAGTGTATGAAGGAAACATTGATATCACAAAGCTTCCTTAGGGAAGATCTCTTGCCAATGACTGAAGGCTCAGAATAGACAGTCCTTGCGTAGTCCAGACCTTTTAGCCCTAAGACTTCAAACTTGGCAAATTAGTCTAGCCAAGCCCAAACCAATCCTCTTCTTTAACTTTGCCTTGTGCCTGGTGGTTTCCTGAGTGATTAGTAGTCTAACTAGATGGAGGACACTGTTTTGAAATTGTCTAAACCACCCTTAGTCGTAGAAGCAATGTGAAACTTGGCATCAGGAAACAAGCAGTGTGACCCTAAGTGAGCGTTGCCCTTTCTGGACCTCAGCTTCCTTGTCTGTAAATTGGGATTCATGAAAATAGCAACTTGGCAGGATAGTTTTGAGGAGATGTATGATGTGATATGATACGGATTGTTTTGCCAGTGAACGTTTGTTATCGCGGAGGAGGGTGAAGGAAAGAATAAGGAACTGTGAACTTTTGCCATTGGGTTTATGATGAAGCAGAATTTTGGTTCCTTGCTACCACCTACGCCCTCCCTGTGATGTGATCGCTTCCTCCTATGAATGGGGAGAATATATTTTTCCTCCAAAATTTTATTACAAAACTAGTTTTAGAAAAATCCAGCAAAATGGGATTCCTGGATGGCTCAGTGGTTTAGCCCCTGCCTTTGGCCCAGGGAGTGATCTTGGAGTCCTGGGATCGAGTCCCACATTGGGCTCCCTGCATGGAGCCTGCTTCTCCCTCTGCCTGAGTCTCTGCGCGCTCTCTCTCTCTCTCTCTCTCTGTCTCTCATGAATAAATAAATAAAATCTTTTTTTTTAAAAAAAGAAAAATCCAGCAAAATAAAGTGCCGTGAGGCAACATTGTATATTGGTTAGAACAAAGACACTAGAATCAGTCAGCCTTGCTCAGATCCCTGGTCTGCCACTTATTTACCTGTTCAATAATTCTGAACAGATTATTTAAACTGTCCAAGCCCTCCACTTCCTCATCTGTAGAATGGAACTTATGTTAATAGTATACACCCATAATATTGCTATGAGCATTAAATGAATTAATTGCAAAGTGCTTAGAACAGTACCTACAGTCCCCACTTTAGTATTCGTCATATTTAAAATATATACATATTTTTTTATTTATCTAAAGGAGAGAGAGAAAGCATGTGCTGGAGGGCAGAGGAGGAGCATAGGCAGAGGGAGAAGCATGCTGTCCACTGAGCAGGGAGTCCAATGTGGGACTTGATCCTAAGACCCTGAGATCATGAGCTGAGCTGAAGGCAGACGCTTACTGACTGAGTCACTCAGATGCCCGTATTATTTCATCCTACTAATGGAATGATTTACCACCACCACCATCCCCATTATTTCAAATATGAATTGTTTCCCCCTTTTTTTGGCTGGTATATAAATAATTCTGTGATGAACATCTTGGTGTCATTGGGATTGTGGTTATCCGTGTTTATTTTCTGACCTGATGTTTCTCAGGTGGAAACAAGCAGAGGGAAGTTCCTTAAAAAAGGAAAGTACAAAGTGCTGAAATGGAGCTTACACATTCTTGATACCACCACATTAAAACTGTACAAACTTTGTAGCTTTATCCAGTAACATTTACTGAATGCCTAAAATGTGTGTCGGCACCAGTCTAGGCACTGAGGATGCCGAGAAACATAGGCTAGGGCATCTCCTTCCAGGGAACTTGGCTTTCTATCAAGAATTACCACAGTGGCCATTACAAATCCTGCTTTTCTGTTGGTTTACATGTTGGTGGCCGCAGCTCTTGGCTTTTAGAATTTCACTGAGTTTACTCAGTGAGGTTTAAACATTTTAACCTTAAAAAAATGTCCCCAGTACCTTCCAAGACCAGAGCAATGTGGATCTCTCAATTAAAACAGTGACTAACACGTAATTCTTTTTTTTAAAGATTTTATTTATTTATTTATTTATTTATTTATTTATTTATTTATTTATTTATTTGACAGAGAGAGAGCCCGCAAGCAGGGGGAACAGGAGAGGGAGAAGCAGACTCCCCACTGAGCAAGGAGCCTGACATGGGGCTTGATCCCAGGGCCCTGGGATCATTATCTGAGCCTAAGGCAGATGCTTAACTAAGTCACCCAGGCACCCCAACAGCTACTTCTTATGGCTGTTCTGGTCCACCCACTCCTTGTGAATATCTCCCTTTTTCTCAAATTTAGCATTTCCAAAGCTGAACCCACCAGCATCCCAGCCCTCAGAGCAACTCCTCTTCCCTGTCTCCCCTTGCATGACATCACCTTTTTTTCTCTTGAATCACCTCTGAGGATTTCCCCTTCTCCCTCCCACCCGTCTCCTCCATCCATGGGTCAACTTCCTTGTTTCCTTCTCTTTATCAGTAGGCTTGCTTTTTCAGTCCTCATTCTCCTCCACACAAGCCAACTAGCTCTGAGTGTGTATAGTTTGTGTGAATGCCTTCAACATTATTTTCAAAGTCCATGCGTGATTCCACTCAATCCCCACCACAAACGTTATCACTGCCATTTAACAAATTACTAGATGAAAAATCAGGTCCAAAACAATGTCACACAGCCAGTGAGCTTCCAGATCTTTTCTGATGCCATCACCCACAGCCACCTGCACAGAACCCTAGTTATCTATCTTCCCAAGACATAAATGTGATCGGTATTGTTCACCTGCAAGAATCTCTTTACAGTTTCTCATTGCCCAAATACCCACCTTCCAACACCCTACCTGGCATCACAGCACTACTTAATCTGTACTGTGTATTTTAATTTCCCATACTTTACTGTTTATACGTCTTAATATCTGTTCAGGCCTCGCTTCATTTCTCCAGGTACCTGTAGCATTTTCCCTTTGCAGCTTTGCTCAAACTCTTCTTCCTGGAATGCCTTTAAAAACAACAATCCTCCCCTTCTTATTTAGCTTCCTGCCATGTTTCCTTAAGAGTATTTTAAGTGAACATTATCATAACCAGTAGGAAACCTTGCTCTCTGGAAGTTAATTATAATAGTAGAGTGGGGACTTTCATTCTCTTTAAATAGTTGACAGTCTGAATTTCCAAGTCAGCCTTTAAGCTGCAAAGATAACAAGCTGCTTGGGTTACACAACACAGACAACGCGGAGAATTCCTGAAAGCTGACACGGCGAGGAAGGAAGGCTTTATCACCGAGCCAGCCAGTGCAAATGAGTTTGTAAAAGCAAAGCTGTTTTTTTTTTTTTTTTTTTCATTTTTCTTAAGATCCTGAAAGGTGGAAGTTACCAAATAACCATGTGATTAGGGCACTTCTGCTTCTAAGAAAAAGCGAGTGACAATTTACAATTCTGTGCTGGGTCAGAATGAACACATATTGTCACCCAGCTTCAAATGGGAAGGAATAATTCACAACTTACAGCTGTGCTACAAAATGCAGTCATTTCCCATGGGAAAGGACCTTGTGTGGCT